GGGGGGCGGATGGGACAGGAACAACATCTAACTCTTGCAGTGCTTTTTAACTTTAGTCATTTCCCTGGGCACACGCCATCCTCGAAGTCAGACCCTGAGCTCTAGCTCAGCCACTCCATGCCCAGCAGCCGAGAAGCCACCTTACCAAACCCCCTCTGACCACACTGGGCCCAAGAGAGGCCACCCCCAGCCCAGGCTGCCCTGCGGGACCCTCTGCACACCAGGCTCTTGTCAGAGCTGCAGTAATGCCCCTGAACATCAGGTGCACACGCAGTCCTGGGTGGGCCCAGTAATTCCTCAACAATTGGCAAAAGCTCCGTGTTCTGATCACTGAAATTGCTGTTGCACAGGCAGCAGTCAGATCCACGTCTGACAACCTATGCCCACCTTGGCCATCCACGCGTGCCACAGCTCGTGGTGCCCTTAACTCAATTGTTGGGGTTTTTTAACTTAACTTATTCCCATGTCTGTTATTGTAGCTTTCTTCAAAGCTGTGGAGTTGCTGCTTGTCACTCCCTAACGCTGAAATTCAGAGCACCCCCTGAAGGCACACACATGGAGGTTTGCCACTGCCCAGCTACACCTCAGCACCCCAGGCCAGGCAGTAGCTGAACCAGGGCTGTCCCAGTTTCCAGCCCAGCGCTGGGCAGGTCCCACCTGCCTCTCAGACCTGCTGCAAACGGGCACACTCACCTGCCCTGACCCACTGGTGTGTTCCGTTTTTCACCACAACTTTTGAGTTGTTTCTCGGTAGCCATGAGCTATATCCTGCAGGTGAATCCAGGCCCAGCACTGTGTATTCATAAATTCTGGCCTGTTCATAAAATTCTGTGGAAAAAGTTGAACAGTAAAAGTTACTGCCTGGCCTGCCTATAACAAAGTAGAATGGCATCAGATTAACTCAGACCCAGATAGGTTTGTGTTAGGAAAAAAAACAATATTCTTAAATATTGGTATTTCTAACATATATAAGTTATAACATTTGTTAAGAACGCCACATCTAAGTGTACTTCAACTAGCTACACTTGTTTTCCCAAAGTTACTTATCATTGGAGAGACAGTAAAGCCAGCGGGTGCAGAACATTATAGCAACACTTATGCCTGCAGTCAGGTCCCAGCTCAAGAGACAGCACCTCTGGGGATTAGAACTTTAAAAGCTACATTCAAGCAGTAACCACACAGTTTCTTTTCTGAATTTTCTAATATTCTTTCCATGCCAAAAATAGTCATTTTACTTTCATAGCTACAAATGTCTGAAGTATCTGATTGAAATGTATTTGATTTTCCAGTAAAAAAAACAAAGGGAAAAGGTTCTGTTTTAGAAAGTGCTTTTATTCTGCTCATTACACATTATGAAATATGAATCTGAAATTGCTGCCGTCTTTCCAGCTCATGCTGAGTGGAAGTGGCTCACCTCAGTGGCGTCTCCCGTTGTGGTATGCAAGGAGGATCCGTGTTGACCCAGGGAGGTGACATGCACCCCGCTCATGTTTCAGAGGGCAGGAAAACAAACATGGTATTATAAGGCTGCTGGAGGAAACAAACTAATTGCTGTGTTGTGAAGCAGTGCATGACAATGGTTTCGGTGAGGTTCTCTCAATGCAGGCAGTGAGCTGTTTTAAAGCTAGCTGAACACAGGAAAAACAAAGGGGCAAAGCAAAGAGAATTCTGAACAGCTAAGGCAAAAAAGGAAAACTGCTATGTTAACTTATTAAGCAGGTGTGTGATCTCAAAAGGTACCTGAATGCAAATCAAACCTAATCGAATCAACGAGGATCTTTAAGATCTCTGGTATTTTTCCCTTGCCTGGACTTCTGCTAAAATTTTAAGAGTCTGGCGTCTCCTACCAAAAGCAATATTGACTCCACCGAATTACTTCAGTAAGAATTGGTCCTTAAGAGGAGAAATTTAAAAAGCCAGGCTTAAAAGCATTGTGCACAACTCTTGGTATCACCATATTAAACAGGCCTTTGAAACCAGTATTATTCCAATAGATAGGCCACATGGCCAAAATTTAATATTAGATCTCAGATATCTGCCCATTTAGTAACTGAGGATTTAAGGACTAAGGTAACAGATGAATCAGTTACTCCAGGTAAATTATTATGCATTCCTTGTGTGCCATGAAGAATTTTTAATGAAGAATTATTAATTTCCTAGACATAAAGACATAGGTATGTACTTGTCAGCCCTGGAATAATCTGAAAGCAAGTTAAATTGGCTTGTGTCACAATTTAGAGACCAACTGGAGTTCTCCCTTCTTTGGATACAATTTCGTGGCATTCCGTTTAAAATTTGAGTGCTTGTGCTTTCCCTTCTTTAGGGGTGTTGAATTTTTCTTTGCATGGGGTGAGCCTTGGGATGGAGTCCCCAGTTACAATCTTGCTTTAACTTGGGCACAGCACCTCCAGTTCTGTTTCTACTGATGCCACTAGCTGTGACCAGGAGCACCAAAGTTAAGAGAGCTTTCTCAAAGGCTTATTTAATAAAAGACAAGGCCTTCCAAACAAAAAGGAATCTTTAAAAAAAGGCATATTTAAATTCCTCAATATTTGCTATCCCTAAGAGGTCGGGAAGAACCCTATTACTTAAGCCATCTCTCTTTCTTGTCCTTTCAGGCATCCTTTCCACATTACTTCAGTTTCCGTCTGAGAAAAAAACCACATTACAGCAAGCGGAGCCTGAGGCAACAGTGAGTGACTTAGGTACGTTTGAGAAAGGCCACTTCAAGTGGAAGATGTCATACATAACACACTAGCTACAGAAGAAAAATCGCTTGTTTGACCACTGTGGCTTGTGAATCAAGAGCAACTTGGACTCCTCTAAGATACCTACATTGCAGATTCGTGTCACAGTTGCCAAATACGTCCATTATTTCTGGCAAGTTCATCCACTCCCAGGAAAGGAGGCCAACAGCCAGCTCAAACTGCCACCCGGCAGTCACCTGGGATAAGAGCGAGAGGTCTTCGTGGAGGTTGGGTGATAACAAAAACGTGTAATATAATCTAATGCAGGGCTGCTTTCAGGGTTTTTTTGCCCATTGTCCCTGGCCAGCTGTCTGACTGGCTAACTGCCTTTTGGGGTCAGTTGGAGCACGATTGCTCTTGAAGTAATTGCACACGTCCAATGTGCAGACTCTTTTTTTATAACCAGAAGTAATCCCTCTATTCAGATCTGAGAGGTTTTAATATAACCTTTTCCAGCCCTTCTGGTGGTTGCTCACAGCCTGCCTGTGCTGTAATTTACCTTCATTGTGTCTGGGTTGAGCTGACCTGGCTTGTTCACAGTCTCGTACAGGTCCACCGTTTGTTTATTCCATTGGTAGCCTGTAGAGAGGAGACACACTAAATTGTCTTTTTGTTCCTTCCATGGAAAGGTTCAAGTTGAAATTATCTGTGTACCTTGCGAAGAAACTTAAGACCAACAAAAGTAAACAGTCCTATCAAATAAAATTCATCAGTTAATAAGAGAATAAGCTTCAGTATTACAATAAGACAATAACAGTAGTGAGGCTAAAAGATAAAACACACCAAAGACACACACAGAAAATTATACTTTCTCATGTTACATTTCATTTTTTAGTTCAAAATGTTAAGTACAAGCAAGAGCCACGTATGAAGAAAGGAACCACTGTGAAAGCTGCTGTTCTCCTCTCAGTCAGTACAAGACAATCTTGACCTTCATGCCATAATATTAAGCTGAATTTCTTGAAAGGAGGTATTGTTTCAAAAGCCAGACATTTTTTCAAGGGTGAGAAATGCCTGTTAAAGACTAGGCTGAAACCCCTGAGGTCATGTTACATTTGACATGTGACATCTAAACTTCTTTATCTGAAAAGGGAATTACAGAAAGCTCTCACTCCTCTGTGCTACTTAGCTGTGCTTTGAACAGAATCCAGCATAGGTGTGAACTAATGGAAAGTTCATGGGAAAGCTTTAGATATCCTTGCTATTTATCTAAATATTTATCTTGTCATGTGTGAGTATACCTGCTTCTCTCCTTAGGGCCTGCAGAAAGTTATTTTTGTCTTGGTTACATATGGCATTAAATACCCAGTAGATGAAGTGCCACCAGCTGCTCCTTCCCCCCCCCCAATAGCAACACCAGAGGAAACGATTACCAGAGATGTCAAATGATGTCTTTTATCGTACAGTATCGTGATTCTAGTAAGAATGCATATACAGATGCACAGAATTTTTTACCTCCTTCACAGTACAGAGCATAATAAACTTATCAAGTGCCAGTGCCTTTAACTAATTGCCACGGCAGTGACAATGTGACACTAAGAGCTGCAGTGTCATTGACAACGGGTGAAATTCAGGAAGTGGCATTTGGAGTCACACAGCAGTAAATACTTATCTACATTTTTTCAGACCATCTGATTCCTCAAATCGTGTAAAGCGCTCCGCTTGTATTAATTTCTTAATGCAAGTTCATTCCGGGGGGGGGGGAAAGGTCATAGCAAAGGGCAAATATGAGCAACACACGAAAAAGGCAAAATCTTGGCCTGCACCTTCGACATTCCCCTTGCCGACTCTCGGTGTCTGGGATCCTCGAGCTCCATCTACCGGTACCGTGGCCGCGCGGCCGGCAGGGCCACGCCGGGACACTCCGCGGCACTGCGGGCGGGACGGCGGGTTTGACGGGATCCCCTCCGGGGAGCTGCTGCTGCGAGCTCCGAAGACGCCCTGCGAAGTGACCGTACCGCCTGGTCACGGTGTTCGCCTCGGGCAGCTGGAGCGCCCGGTCAGAGGATCTCGCCGGCCTGTGCAAAGAGCAAGACAGGACACACGGAAGGTTTGTCCATGGAAGAGTCAAGTAGGTACCTGCAGGAGAGAGAGCGCGACATCACCGTTTGGCTGTGGAAAGCCTCAAGTACCTTCGTGCGAGCTCAAAATCACTGAGGCTCCACAGCAGCTTCGAAGTGACGCGGTACGTGAGGACATTTTGAAAGGCATGAGGAGCTTGGGTTTAGGTAACTTGGTTGCACCCAGATTGTCAAATTCTTGCAGGCGACCTTTTTTAACAGTGTGCAACACCAAACATCCCGGCACTAATGTCCCTAAAATGGCCACCGGTAAGTGGTAAAAACCCAACAAGCAGACAAGTTCTCTTTTTTTTTTTTCTTTTCAATACTGTGTCCAACAATTTCCTCCTTTGACTATAGAAATGTATCAATTCCAGAGTCAGCGCATCAGTCCTGCCACAGTGGAAACTGGCCTTTCCCAGCCCTCCACTGAAGGGTTCACCAGTTTACCCCAGGTGAGAATCTGGACAAATAACACCAGCCTGCCCATAACAGAAAGTCTTATTTGATTATCTGTCCAGTGAGAATTCAGTTTACAGCTATTTACAAGGCTCTTTTTATATCCAACAGATTTGGTGCAACTGTACAT